TGAGTTCACTGTACTCAAATGGCCCCCACAGTCACCAGATCTCAATCCAATAGAGCATCTTTGGGATGTGGTGGAATGGGAGATTCGCATCATGGATGTGCAGCCAACAAATCTGCGGCAACTGTGTGATGCCATCATGTCAATATGGACCAAATTCCCTGGGGAATGCTTCCAGCACCTTGTTGAATCTATGCCACAAAGAATTGAGGCAGTTCTGAAGGCAAAAGGGGGTCCAACCCGTTACTAGAATGGGGTACCTAATAAAGTGGCCGGTGAGTGTATAAAACAGTTGTATCACAACTGAAGATTTCTGGGTGGGGGGTATAATCTTCTGGAGAATACAGTTGCACCTGAACTTAACCTATCAACTCTATTTAAATGTATTTATATTGTATATATATTTAGAGTGTTTTGTAGGAGCAGCATCTTAATATGAGGATGTTTTTTTCTTCAGCTGGCAAATGGAAGTTGATCGGTTTTGCTGAAAAGATGGGTGAAATTAGGTAAGGGAAATCTTGAATTAAAAACCTGGAGAAAAGTCTAAAGTAGGAGAAAACTACAGTACAGTTTTTCAAAATGGCATACTCAGATGAATTGATGAATCGCGTGATTGAGTACCGTGCTTTGAAAGTGATTCTGGCAAACCATCCATATACCAAACGGCCCTACGTCACCTGTCAAGTCCGTAACCTTTATGGAATGGATTTCCAGTTGCAGCCAAGGGTAGGTGGGAATCTGTTTCAGGGACCAGAAGATAGAAGACCTACAGAATGCAACGGCAATGACAATCAGCTCCTCCAACCCGGAGGGCATGGTTCTTGACCGGAAAAAGGTGGTTTGTCCCCTTCAGGTCAGAGGAGAGGAGAAGTTCAGATATCTAGGAGGCATGTTCATGAGTGAGGGGGGAATGGAGCAGAAGATCAATAGATAGAGTGGTGCAGCTGCTGATAAAGCCTAACAGCTGTTGGAGGGAAGGATCTGTGATAACGCTGTAGTGTGCCTAGGGTGTCATTGAATGAGGACTTGTTTTCAGGAACTGCTTCACTAATAGGATGGTAGACATTGTCCAACAGAGATGGTTTCTTTGTTAGATTTCCTCCTTGCTACCACCTGCAGAGAGGTGAAATGGGGGTAAAGCACAAGCACAATTTTATTAAGATTTATCCACAAAAATCTTTACAGACTTTGTGTAAATGTTCATTATATTGAAATTATATATAGATTTTTTTTTTCAGTTTCATACATACTTATTTATGGAGGTTTTTTTCTTTTACATACTTTTTACATTACATTTTACATTACATTACATTACACCTGAAAATGGGAATATTATGATGCATATTAGTCATGTGTTTTCTTTCCCCAAATTAAAACAATTATCAAACCTAAACATTTTTCACTATGTTACAAATTTCCTCATGCAAATGTCCTGAAATCTTGTTCTTTATTGTTAGGCTTTTGTTCATTAGTTGAAAAAAGGTAGAGGCTCTGCTGGAGGCTCTTTGCCTGCAGGTAAATATTATCAGCATTCAATGCAAGGCTTTTAAGTGAAGAGTTTCGGCATCAGGGAACAGCGTAGAAAAGCTGTGTGCTGAATATTTGATGCTGAAGGCAAACAGCATCAGGTCCTGAGAGCTGTTTCCAGCTCTGTCTGCATAATCAACTGGGATGAGGCATCCTGTCTCCGTTCTGCAGACTTGCATGCACACACAAGTTAAAAAATCTAGTTTTAGTCTTAAGTTTTTGCTTACAAATGTTAGATCAACGACCCTTGCAGCAGCTTTGAAAACATAATATTATCTTTTTTCACATTATATGCACCATGAAAATATACAGCATGCACATTGTTTAACACAGTTTAGAGTGGACAAACCCCAACTTGCTGCCACTGAAATAATTGCTCATATTTTTGGAAGGATTACTATATATATAATACCAGTTCTTAAAATCACTCAATACTTTCTCCCGTTTTGTGAGATAGCAGATGTAAAAAAAAAAAAAACTGCTATTCGTCAATAAAGTAAATGGTCTTTGGTTGAAATTTCTGAGTTGGTTTTCAAGTGTGAACCAAGTAGACTCCTTATTTATTCATTGACTGAAGGGAGCTTTTTGTTTCTTTGCCCCTGAGCTGTAGAACAGCCTCCATTAAAACTTGAAATGTGCTGAAATGTTTGGTACCTTTAAGTCATGACCAAAAATATTTTTAAAAACATATTTTGGTGTTATGGTTTTATGTATTTGCCACCTATATTTGAACAAGTCTCCGCAACAACCTTTAAAATATGTTTACATACCAAGCAGTTTATTCAGACGCAAAGAAGATAAAAAATCTTCTTCAAGCTACCCTACCATCCCAGATGTAAAATGTCTGACTCTTACTGAACTGTCTTTATAACCACCTGCTGTTCTCGTGATATTAAGACTGAGAGTTTTGAGTCTGGTTTTGAGATGCTGGTCCTATAATAAAAAATATTCTAAAGCTGCTTGGAAAGGCTTGGCTACAAACTATGATGGTTGCTGGATGTTAGCAACATCTGACAGATTAGATTTGACAGAATAACCAAGAAAAACAAGATGATTAAATCAATTGTCTTCTGATGAGACACTGAACATGCTGTACTGTACTTTCAATTGAAGAGTAGGAGTTAATCTACTGAGAGAAATTGTAAACGAGTAGAAGAGGAAGAGAGAAAACTGATGAGGATTTGGATGAAGAGGTACCTTAGTATAGACAAAGAACTCAGAGGGTTTATTTTAACATAATCCAATCCAGAGATTTAGCAAACAGGGTATAATAAAACTGGAATAATCTCTCTTTAAGTTTTTATGTATATTTTAAAATCCCATTTCATTACTTTTACAATTTAGGTTTTCATTAACATAACAATTAAATGCCTGTTTCCAAAATTAATGAAGATATGTGCTTCAATTTATGTTTTCGAAGGAATTGTTAGAATTTTGATTGAGATGCTGTATAGGGCATCTACTGTTATTTACTGTTATTTAAGCCACTTAGTCTTAAATTGAGATTGTTTGCCTTTGAAAGTAAATGCAGTTTTGAAAAACAAATGGTGCTTGTATAGAATGGATCTCCTATTAAATTAAAACTACGAGGGAGCCATACATAAAGGTTTAACTAATTTTCATTCTCTTTACCTTGGTTTTTTCTTTCTTTTTTTGTAGGTTACTATTTATTCATATTTACAGTGAAACTTTTATTTTGAGAAATCATCATACATTTTAGGTGGTATTGCCAAATTGACCACACCGAATGTGTCCAAATTGCAGCATGAAATGAGCTAGAAGACACAACACAGAGCGCTGATCTTTAAACATCATGAGTTGTAATGAGCCCAAACAGGACATCTGGTTTACAACATCAAAGCCCCGTGTCCAGCCTGCTTTGAAAGAAGCTGCTTTGCCTCACCTTTAAGCAAGTCTGCAAGTTGTAATCAGTTGCTCTTGTAATCCTGGTATTAGACCATATTCTGTGCTACATCAGATAATGTGACTCAAAAGCATGCAGTGGCAGATTCTCCTCACTATGCTGTCTGCTAGCCTTAACATGACAGGAGTCATGCCTAAACCTCAGTTCACAAAACTAATACCTAAACCTAAAGAAGTCTGTTGTGAAATACATATAGCACCCCCTTTGATCACAGAGCACTATTGTCCAACACTGGAATAGGAGAGCCATTAACAGGACTCTCTCACCAGTAAGTTGTCATGTAGCTGAAGTGAGGTTTGCTTTCTTTTCCTGTGACTGTTTAAAAAAATTGTGGATGATCGACCATATTTTATTTCTTGCTTCGAAAATT